CATTTTTTTTTTTTTTTTTTTTTTTAATCCTATAAGAAGTGCATGAGTAAGTTCATTGAGACATAACACTTATATCTGCTTTAAAGTGGAAAGTATTTGAGTGTATATTATATAAAATGATGCCTCTAAGTACTTGGATCTGTTGCATCCAGTGTTGTGCTTGTGTGGGGGACTAGGAATATTGTTTATCATTTCAGAAAAGAAGTCTAGGTATCAGTTTTGAGTTTTTTTGGAGTTACTAGTTATAAAGCTTTCCCACCCCAGCCCAATGTTTTCTCACATCTTGCTTGTCCTAACTCCATGGTATTAACATTCATATGAATAATCATTAAATGCCCTGGCCTCTTGGTTCTTGGTTGCCTCACCTCTTCCTCAGCCACATACCTACAGCCATTCCTTAGAACATGTAGGACTCCATTGCCAAGATCACTGATTGAGGCGTTCCTACCACACCGTGGTCTGTCCTTTTAGTTTGCTTAACTTTTCCTCACTGTTCTTCTGCCTCATTGGGACTTCGAAAGCACCGGCCCTTTTCCCAGTCCCTTACCCCCAATTTTCCTTCTTATCAAGCTTAATTCCATGAGTTTTTATTTTCTTTTTTATTCTTGCCAGTACTCTAAAATCCCTTGCCTCTCAGTCTGTTAGTCATAAATTACAAATGGATGAAGCCATAAAATTCCTGGATGAAGCTCTTCCTTAGAGCCTGCCCCTTCAGCAGCCAGGTGCTGCTGAAGAAAGGTTTCAAAAGGACTAATAGCTCTGGAATACTTGGTAACCTCCCTGGACCTGCTCTACTACCTGGCAGGGCTATAGAATTTCTCTGGATAATTATTTACAACCTCTACTTCCCTACCTTTTCCCTTAGAACTCACTTTCTTCATACACAGTCATGTGCCACATAATGATGGCTTGGTCAATGACTGCAGTGACTGCATTTGCCACGGTGGTCCCATAAGGTTGTAATGGAGCTGCAAAGTTCCTGTTGCCTAGTGCAGTGACACAGTAAGCTGTAGCAAAACACATTACACAAATACCGCTGTGTTACAATTGCCAATAGTATTCAGTACAGCACTGTATTGTACAAGTTTGTAGCCTAGGAGCTATAGGGGAACAGAATTTGTCACCCCCAAATGCCTCTAGTAAAAGATTACTCTAGGCCAGTTAATTTTGAGAAACAGCAGCCATGGGAGCAGCTCTGAAAACCAACTAGAAATTGCCCTTGGTAAAGACCTTTACATTTGTATGAACAGTCTCCATTTGTAAGGGGCTTGACCTTATCTCTGGATGCTCTTATCAGTGCAGAAAACAGACATGCAAACCTGCACAACAACCTTACTCTTGTTTACTGTGCTTTTCCAGGTAACCTCCCATAACTGACACCCCCAGCCCAACATTTTTTTTTTTTAATTACTGATTTTTGGGAGAGGGAGAGAAACATCAATGTAAGAGTGTAACATCAATCAGCTGCCTCCTGTACACCCCCTACTGGGGATGGAACTGGTGACCTTTTGGTGCATGGGACTCCTCTCAACCAACTGAGCCATGCCAGCCAGGGCCCAACATCTTCTTTTGTCTTCAGCTGAAGATGGTATTTAGGGTAATAGCATCGGGTCATTTTTGACAAGTTACTCAGTTTTCCTGGGTCTTTCCATGTATGCAGGAGGTATACATGTTACTAGACTTTTGTTTGTTTTTCTCCTGTTAGTCTGTCTTTTATTATAGGGATGTCTGATCCAAGAACCCACAAGCACAGGGAAATTACTTTTTCCTCCCCTACAGAGTAGCGAACTGTACCCCCCAGGTTTGTGTAAGCGCACTCTCCCTACAGAGTAGCAGCTGTCCCCCCAGGTTTGTGTAAGCGCACTCTCCCTACAGAGTAGCAGCTGTACCCCCAGGTTTGTGTAAGCGCATTCTCCCTACAGAGTAGCAGCTGTCCCCCCAGGTTTGTGTAAGCGCACTCTGTTATGTCTGCACAATGATGAACTCACCTAAGGATACATTTTTCAGAACAGACGCCCATCATTAAGTAGCACATGGCTATAACCTATAGAGAAAATTGAAACTCAGGTGGGAATTCCCCCAGTTTCCCCATTACTAATAAAACAAGTGACAGTTACAGCCATTTTACCTGTGTTGTTCCTCCTGCTCTGGTGAGGCGAGCTGAGCTGCCTTCCTATCATCTAAGGTCACCCCCACCACCAGTCAGGCTTTGAGTCCCATCCCTCACTGTCTCAGAAACATTATACTATTTACAATCCCTCCTTATGTATATTTAACCTCTCTTTATTGGATCTTTCCTGTCAGCATGCAAAAATCCTCAGCTCTCTCCTATTTTAAATCAAAATCTTCTTTTGATCTCATATATTCTATTAGCCATCTTCCTAGGTCTCTTTCCCTTCATAGTTAAATATACACTTCCTTTTTGTTGTTAATCCTCACGAGAGAATATTTTTTCATTGATTTTGGTGCGGGGGGAGAAACATCATGTGAGAGAGAGACATCGATTGGTTGCCTCACCTCCGCACACACCTCTAGAGGGGCTAGGGATCTAATCTGCTACCCAGGTACGTGCCCTGACTGGGAATCAAACCCATGACCCTTTAGTACGCAGACTGATGCTCTAACCATTGATCAACACTGGCCAGGGCAATTATACACTTACTTTTTGTGAGATATAACCATGGTTTAAAAATCAAGTAGTAAAGAAAGAACTATAATGAAAACAGTAGTTCCCCGCCCTACTCCTTTCTAGCTGCAGTCCTATTCATTCAACACATACTCCTTTTGAGTGCCTTCTCGGTGTCAAGCATGCTTCTAAAAAGTTCCATCAATAAACAAAAGAAAAATTTCTTTGTGGCACTTATTACCCCACGGTGGGCTAGAAGATAGTAAGTATTGTAGAGGAAAACGGCAATGAAGGGGGAGAGATAGGCAGAGAAGGGGGGTTGCAGTTTTGAAGGGTGGGTTGGAAAGGCCTCGTGCCACTGTGCTGGAACTTCATGGGGTCTTTCAGGATGAAGACTTCGGTCCTCCAGCTCAGTTATACCCACGCATCAGTGGTTCTCTTTGAGACTATCGCATTGTATATAAACTGCTTAGTACAGTAGCGAGTATCTTCCAGCACACTAAACTCGCTGAGAGCAGGGACCGCGTCAGGCTTGCTTACTATTGTGCCATTTTTGCCTAACGCCGTGCCAGTGCAGAGCAAGCATTTGACAAACCGTTTATATTTCTCCCTCCTTCCCCATCTCCAAGTTGGAACCATTTTACTCCTTTACCACTTTGGAGTCCATCTAGTTCCCTCGGCTCTGTTGCAGGCCCCCCTCATGTAGACTGCATGGCACTGTCTGTCTTCAGACCCTTCGATTATGATTTTATACTTAACATCTATCTTTGCCACTGCACTGTAAGCTCCATGAGGGCAGCGGCAGTGCCTTTTTATGTCCTCACCATTGTATCTCGGGCCAGCATAGGAGGCTCTCAGATAACCCTGTAGCCCTGGCTGGGACCACCTAAGGGTAACAAAAGATTGATATGTAATCCAGGTTGTGTCATTGTTGAAATGCAGTGAACTTTAGAGCACTAGATAGTTGGTAACAGTTAGAGGACCAGACTTAACATTCTTTCCCTAAAATTATCTAGTAATTAGCATTGCTGTTTTTGTCTTCGAAGAATGTTGTCCAAAGCAGGACGTATTCCTCGTTGTGTTTAAGACCTTCAGCTGGCCTATGCACACATTTCCTTTTTAGCATATGCTTCGGAAGAACAGAAGAATCTCCGACTCTGCCCGGATGGACAGCTCTTTCATCAGGAGGGTCCGGTTTATCAAGCATGTCAGTTTCCTCTTGACTTACTTGAGGAATGCAGTGGGGTGAAGGACCCTAACTTCGGCTACTCCAGTGGGAACCCTTGTATTCTTGTAAAAATGAACAGAGTATGTACAAATTTTGCTGCTGTTTCTGCTTTTTCCTAATAACCTCTATTAAGAAGCTGACAAGTATTTTTTAAATGTTACCTCATTTGGAGTAGCTTGTGTAAAAGGCTAACAGTGATATTGATTGACCTTTGGAAATACTAATACAGGAAACAAATAAGATTGGTTCACAAATTAATCCTGGTTGAGGGAGTAAAACAACTTCTGCTTTTCCCCTTGAAGATAGATGACTGCTTCACAGGCAGGTGTTTTGGGTGTCATGCCCAAAGCATGGTTTCATATTCAGTGCTCATCTTTGAATTCTGTGTTGTAAAGTAATTTAAAATCCCATGGGGGAATATATGAATTTTTGGCTTATATTTAGTAGGAAAGCACATTTTTAGAGTATATGTATGTACAATTAAATAGTGGAAATACAAATGAAGTTGCATTATAATGAGCTCAGTTGTAACCAGCTAGCAGCGTTTTGTTTTGCTGTGTTGCAGAAGAGGTGCCTGAATTGTATAGCCATTGACAAATTAAGAACCTGATGTTCTCTCCCTGTGTCAGCAATAATAACTTGCCATCATGGTGCAAAGGAAGCCGCCTCCCTTCTGTAATGAAGTGATTCCTAACCCCCCTCAATGCTGCTCTCTGACTGTTGTACTGTGGAGTCGTGTTCTGATACAGTTATCCTATTGAGGCCTACAAGGCATAGGCTTCTCAAGATCATGAGTTCACATATCACTAAAGTCATCATCTGATGAGCAAATTGCTACCATCCCTAATAACAGTACAGCCTGAGTCTTGTAAAGTTGACACTGCTAAATAAGGAGTTTCCCTGTAGGGAGAGCCAGCTAGAACCTAAAATGCCCATGCTGACACCCCTCCAGCCTCTCCTTTCCCCTCCCCCAGTGGACAATGACAGTTTCCTCTTTATCCCACAGCACTCTAGAGATCATTCTGAAACACTGCCTGGCACGTAGTAGGTGCCAATAAATGATTGAGGGATATTTCAGCAAGACTTTGTTAAGAATTAAGGTTAACAAAATAAGCATAAAGTAATGTGAAGCTAAAAGACCTAGCTTATAAGATTAAATTTTCCCCTTTAACAGGGATGCCTTTTATAACTCCATCCTCCTAGGAGTATCTTCAGGACAATTAGATTGCTAGAAAATCTATTCCCAGTATAAAGCCAAGAGAAATTTCAGTTCCTTCTCCCATAGGACCAATCTTCTGAGTTTATTTTCTCTCTCAGTATGTCCCCTTTGAATGATGAGGGTCTGAGATTATACTTGCTGGTAGGGGCATGGCTTTGCAGAGCATGACCGGAAGACAGGCACATGGGTCGGTAATGAGATGTGCGTACCTAGTGTAGCAGGGAACTTAATCCTAGTATAGTGTTCCAGAGTCATTACATGGGCAAGGACAGTTATTGCTATTTATATTATTATTTAGGTTGCTAAATATTTGTCTTTTGCGAGGAGTATTTACATTTTACAGGCATTCGTATATAAAATGCATATAAATTCAAAATGCCAAAAATCTCATAAAATAGATGGATAAATATCTGTTATCATTTATACAAGACTTAGTTATATCAACTGCAAACATGAAAGTAGCCTCATTCTATAGAACTGAATGGTGCTGTGAATCTCCCCAGTGAATGGATTTTGGGGAGCAGGTAGATGTGGAATATGGTCAGGCTCTCTGGAAGCATTATGGAAACATGAGGGTCGTGACCTGACATATTTTCTTGAAGGATAGTTAATTATATTATGACTGCAATTCTGATTATTTGCATTAATTATTTGTTCATGTACATAATGAAATTTAAAGGTATCTGGTTGGTTGTTTCTTACTTTAAGGGTAGCAAGTGCAGTACTGTGTTTTGGCCTATTTAACTGATTTATTTCCTGAGTTGCCCTAGTACAGTAATAAGATAGCTAATTGGTAAGATTACTATACTGAAAAGTCCATTCTAATCCTCTAAAATAAAATTAGCCTAAAGGCACAGGTAACAGGGTTTCAGTGCTCAAGAGTTACCGTTCATCTCAACCCTTGCACACCTGGTCCCCAGAAGCAAAGGTTCTGTTGGTGGCCATTTGTGATGTTTCCATTAATCAATATTTCTTTACCTTAGATAATTGGATTAAAGCCTCAAGGTGAACCGAAGATATCATGCTCTGGTAGTTCTAAGGTTAGTATTCAGAAATAACCCAACTGTTGTTAAAGCTCTAGTATAATTGGGATACTTTAAAAGTCTAATGAGTTTTAGTCATTTTTCCCCCTTCCCTGTCACATTTTAAAAGTTCTCAATAGTGCCATTCTTAGAAGAATAAAATTTTACCAATCTTTGTGGGTAGCCTTTCTCTGTTTGCTCATGATAATTAAAAAAAACTTGTTTCCATGTGCATTTGGTTTCACACACATTGCCTTTACAGCTCCATATGCCATATTTCATTGATTCTAAGATTCACTTTTTCCCCCCTAGCTTAACACTGAAATTGGGGTTGGCTTTACAGTTAACGGTACCTTATCATGTTTTTTTCTTAATAGTACACAAATTGGTGTATATCAGTGATATCTGAGATTTAATGAAACGTGGTAGAGACACTGTTTTTCTCTCCTGTCCTGACTTTATTTTTTCTCAAGAGTGCTGTACAGTTCATTTCATAATTTCTTTTGTTTTCTCTCCATGCTGCAAGTGCAACTAAGACAAATATATAAATATGGGTAAGAGTTCTGAGGAGAAACTTTTCTTTAAGTTCTAAATTTAATGTCATCATTGTGCAAAATATTAACATTCTAACTCCAATTGTGTGTCAGAAATATTCCACTTGAAATGTTACAATGAAATCACTTCTGAATTTTCAGTGGGAAAAAAAATGAATGGGTTTTGTGTTTGGGCAGAAACTTCTTGTTCAGTGGGTCTCGAATTTGATCATGCATCAGAACCACTTGGAGAGCTTGCTGATACCCATTCCCAAGGTTTCTGACTCTGCTGGTCTGGGGTGAGGCTCCAAATTTGCATTTTTACCTAAAGTTTCCAAGTGATGGTGATGCTGCTGGTCTGGAGCCCACATTTAGTATCCTTACTCGTTCCTTTTGAGTACTCACTTTTACGAGTACAATAAAAGGAAGGTCAGGAAGTTTGTGGTTTCTCATCTCGGTTGAGGTATACATATGTGACCGTAGGTGATTCACTTCATCTTTGTGCCGTGTTCAGCTCAACAGGAAACTGGATAAGAAGCCAGAGTCTCACTTAAAACCAGGTGCTGCATCGAAGCCAAGCCTTTCTTGATAAACAACTCCTTCTAAAAATTTATCGAGCAGATACTGTCATCTCTTAAGACAAAAAGAAAACACTGTGGCTATAAGCTACATTTAGAAGCTGTGTGTGTAACTCTTTATGAACCTCCTTGCTAGTAAGTCTTGCCAGTAGGCTGAGGTGTAGGGAGGCTTCCGCCAGGCAGCCCATGCTTGTTTCCTGACACTGTACCTGTGTGCAGGAGCTGTTGCTTTTGCATGTGAGCAGACTACATAGATAAGCTTGGGATGGTGGGTCTATGGAGCCAGCACCACCAGAAAGAGAAAACACATGCATTTAGGCCAGAAGGGCCAATGCTTTAAACAGCCCTTTCCTCTCTGGTCAGTTTGGCTCAGTGGTTGGAGTGTTGGCCTGTGGACTGAAGGGTCCTGGGTTCAATTCTGGCCAAGGGCACGTACCTCAGGCTTGATCCCCGGCACGGGGTGGGGGGAGGCGTGCGGGAGGTGCAACCAATCGATGTGTCTCCCTCACATCAATGTTTCTCTCTCCCTCTTTCTCCCCCTCTTCCCCTCTCTCCCTTCTACTTTCTGAAAATTAATGGGGAAAAATCCTCTAGAGAGGATTTTAAAAAAATTTAAACAGCCCTTTCCTAAGGTTTTAGTTTTATAAACCTTTGGCCAATATGAAAAACCTCCATGTAACTCATCCCTTAGGGTTTTAAATGGATTTTTCTCCTTGTTTATCTATTATGTATCCTTTGCTTCTGGAATAGTTGGGGCAAATGTTAATGAAAAATCCTGGTCTTATTACTCAGATTTCAGATTGTTTTTTTCTGTGTAAAGCACATAAACTAATCAAAACAGATGGGGTTTTTGTTTTGTTTATTGGGGAATATTTTTGTTTTTAGTGGGGGAAAGGCACTTGGTGGAATTGGGAGGGAAATGCTTGTAAAGCTGCGTTTTACTCCTAGGCTAGTCACAAAGGAGTAATCCAGTAGAGCCCGTACATTTAGTGTGTCTCTGTAGAGCACATGGAAACACAGACACTGGTGGCAGAACATGCTCTTACAGGTGGCCTTTAACATGTTTATGCCATTCATTTCAATATTTTATTTTCTTACAAAAATGAATTGTGTTCATTTGAGACAATTTAGAAAAACGCGAAAGAAAAAAAATTAGTAAATGCTACCCAGAGATAATCATATTTGGTGTGTATTCTTTAAGTAGTTTATGGCTGATGAGTAATCTTAAAACTTTATTTTGTTTTCAGTAGAACTTAGTGACTGTTAATAAACTCTTGTACTTAGTTGCTTATAATTTACAATATGGTACCATTTTATACGTAGAAAACTTTGACATGTAGGCTTTTACCCTAAAGTTGCTCATCATTGTTCAGATATCTATTTCAATACTTTATAATCTCTAAATATTTATTTTCACAGAAGGTATAAAATACAAGTTTAAGTAGAAGCCTGCCAACAGTATGGTTTAGGTACAAACCAAGAGAGCAGTTAAGGGTCTGTCACACCCGGGCAGTGTTGAGCCTGTGACCTTCACTCTGAGCCTCATTTCCCCTCTCCAGAATTGATTCTGCCCTCGTAAGGGCTGTTGGGCCTAAACGAATGACTTAAATATCAGTTAAGTGGTATCTGGCTGGAAATACACACTGAAGTGCTCAATAAATTATAACCCAAAGGAAATCTTTTACATTTTGGGTGCCATCTCTGTGTTTTTGTGAATTACGCTCATATATTAAGGAAAAATGGGTTATACAAAAGCAGTGCAGGAAAACACTCATATCCAAGTGATTATTTTTTCTCTGATGGAAAATGCTATTTTAGACTTAAAAAAAAATTAAGTACTAGAAATGTTAGGGTGGTGTTGGAATAGTGATTGAAAAATGGCCTCTGCAGCTGCTTTAGCCTTGTTCTCGCCTCTTCTTCCCACACACATGATCTGACTCCTTGGAACTTCACCCTCTTTGTGGAGTGTCGTCACTGCAGCGTGCTGTCTTCCCTGGGTCACCTCATGCACATGTGCTACATGACAGTTAATGAAATAAGCTGTAGTGTTTCATGTGCTTCCAAAAATAGAAATTAGTATATTCAAATCTAGAATTCAAGCATTTAGTAATGTTTTATTTTAATTAGTACTTAGTAAACGTGCCTCTGATTTTAATAATTGTTGTCTATTATCTAGTATGTGTTAAAATTACAGTCATTAAAATTAGACCTGTTTGGAATGTGTTACACGAGAATTTTATAAGTTGCTTATTAAGAACACTAGAATTAACTAATAAATAGCATGAATGAGTTGGCTTATAGATCGTGATTAGATTTGTATGTTCCTCATGTTTATCTGTTTTTTAAATACGTGGAATATAATTCCAGTAGACTCAATACTTTTAATTGATTTACATGTGCTCATAAATTTATTTAAGGGAAACATGATATTTAAATTGGTTAAGTGGTTTTTTGCTTGGAGTACCTTAAATTTTTCCTAATAGTTTTTGTCAGTGTCATCATAGTTTCCCCCTGTGGTTATAGTTATCATGGTTATTAATCACCTGAAACTTTGGGACTGGCTGCCCGCCAGCCTGAGCAATACATTCTAGGTTGTGGCAGCCATTGCTTTCCAGCCTGGAAGCACAGTATTGTATTAATTTCAGGAATGCATTGGTCCCAAACCTACTGGTGTGTTCTGCTGCCCTGCTGCCAAGTGGCCAGAGAACTAACAGTTGGTGGTCAGAAGACAAGTAAGATTTTACAGACAGTGCATGAGTAGGTCTGGCTGTAAGTTAGGAGGTATTCTCGTGGAAAAGCATACGGGGTAACAGGAAATGTAAGCAGAGTCAGGATAGTCTTTTTCAGGGGTTTAAATCAAGATGAGCAAGTCTCTTCTCAAAAATACACTTGTAATTAATGCAGTTGGAGCAGCATGTAGTTTCCCCATACTGTTCATGATTGATACTGCTGTAATATAAATACATTTTTAAAATTTGCTTTTTTGACCTAAAAAGGGTTTCTTTTGTTTTCAATTTTAGGGTGGAAACATGACAGCTATATTAACTTACCCTCCAGATGGACATATGGACTTAAAATATTTTCCATATTATGGGAAAAAACTGCATGTAAGTATTTAGAAGTTCTTAAGTGGTTGTGACCCTTGGGAAATGGGCACATCTGTATTAAAATGTCAGTTGTCTGGGACAGGTAAACATGACCTGTGTAACTTGTGCATCATCTGTCCTGGTTTTTAAATACAAATGGTGATGGCAAATGAAGATTCCACGTCTATAATTCAAAACACAAAATCCAAGCAGAAAATACCATTATCTCTCATTATTTAGGATGTGTTTATTTAGAGAATATAGAGAAGTAGTCAAAATAAAGCTCATTACCCAGAAATAATTATACTGTAACCTAATTTCTTTCATATTTCTTTATGTAAACCATTTTATAAAATTAGCATCATACTGTATGTATACTTTAAAATGATTTCAAACATAAAGTGGTTAGGATAGTAGAAAGAATTGCCATAGACCTTTTACCCAGGTTTCCCAAATGTTAATATTTTACCTCATTTGTCTTATCAGTTTCCATTTGTATATAATTTTTTTTTTACCTGAACCATCTGGGACTAACTTATAAACCTGGTGCTGCTTTTTTTCCAGCCCCAGGATATCACACTGTTAACATCTTCAGTCACTAGCCTATCAGGAGAGACATGGTGTTGATTAGTCCCATTAATGGTGATAGTGACCTTGAACTCTTGGTTAAAGCAGTGTCAGCCAGGTTTCTCCACTGTAAAGTTACCTTTTTTTCCTTTGTAATCAATAAATATCATCTAGGGAGAATACGTTCAGAGTCTATAAAATTCTGTTTCTCCTATGGTCTTAGCATTTGTTGATTCTTGCATGAATCAGTTAATAGAACTGTTCCCAAATGTTTTCCTTATTCCATCTCTCCTTTGTCCCTTTACTAGTTGGCATTCTACACTAAGGAACTTTTTCTTCTCTATCATTTATTAGTTATGTGTATCATTATTTTTTTGTGGATTCTTATTTTATTCTGGGGTTATAATCTGTTGTAATCATTTATTTTGGTGCTAAAATTGTCCCAGATTTGGCTGGTGGGAAACATTCAGGCTGGCTTCTCTATCCTTTTGACATGCCCCCATGATTGAGCACTTGCTTATTTTCTGGCACCACAAGCTATTCCAGGTTCATCTTGTACTTTCCCTGTCCCAGCCCTAGAATCAGCCCCTAGTTCTTTTAGTAAAGAGTTGTATTTAGAAACCACAATGATAGTATAGCAACTGAGTATATTTGTGCCATATTATACAGCAATCATAAGTAGGGACATAGACCTAAGTAACATAATCAGGTGGATCTATGCATATTTATCAAACATAGTAATATATAAATAATATAATAGATATCCTCAAGCACACCTGGAACAGTCATTTAAATTTAATTATCATGAAAAAATACATCCTGAAGTTTCATAAAGTAGAAATACATTAGACAATACTTTCTAATCACAATGCCATAAAACTAGAAATTATTAAAATAAAAGGGCCCTTCTCAAAAGAAGGAGAGAGTCGCAACTTTTATTAAACAACTCTTGAATAAAAGAGGAAATTAAAACCAAGATAGTAGCCTGGCCGGGCATGGCTCAGCGGTTGAGCGTCGACCTAGGATCCAGGCAATCGGGGTTCGATTCCTGGTCAGGGCACATTCCCAGGTTGCGGGCTCGATCCCCAGTCGGAGGCGTGCAGGAGGCAGCCAATCAATGACTCTTTCATCATTGATGTTTCTGTCTCTCTTCCCCTCTCCTTTCCTCTCTCTGAAATCAATAAAGATATATTTTAAAAATAAATAAATAATTAAAAATAAAACCAAGATAGTAGAATATCTAAAAAATACTGATAATGAAACAACATAATCAGTCTATGGGATACATTTAAAGCAGTACTCAGAGGAAAATTCATAGCCATAAACACTTTTATCCAAAAAACTAAGTGAAAATAAATGAATATCCAGTTTCAAGGTAGAGAATGGAAAATAATAGATCTAATTAATAGATTAAAATCTTGTTTTACAATTTTACAGAATAAACCAACTCTTGGTGAAGTGTAGATGAGGTTACTTTGAATTTGAATTAATGTGTTTTCCTTTATTTGCCAGGTGAGCTATCTACAGCCATTAGTTGCTGTCCAACTCAGCCTCAATGCTAACAAAACCCCAAAAGAAGTAACAGTCGAGTGCAAGATTGTTGGATCACCCAACCTGAAAAACCATGATGATCGTGACAAGTTTTTAGGACGAGTTGTGTTCAAAATCACAATGCGTGCATAGTAGGAGTTAGAATATGTCCACAGAGTAAATGTTGTGTTGTCTGTCTTCATTTTGTATCAGCCGGACCTGACATTCTAGAATTATGGGACCACCTGAGAGAGAGTTGGGGTGGTACATGACACTGCGGTAGCATTGTAATGTGCTTCCCCATCATAGTGTTCAGTGTCCTCTGAAGTAACTGCCTGTTGCCTCTGCTGCCTTTGGGAACCATTGTACAGTCGCCAGATGGGGCCTGTGAACACCTGATTCTGAACACGTGGGTCTTGTCCTATTTTTTTATGTGGTTTAATTGCCAACTGTCTAAAGCTTAATGTGCTGTGCCATGTAAATATTTTGTAGATTTAACCCTGGTTAATTGTCATATTTTGATGCCAGCACATTTTTAAGGGTAAAATGGTACCTGACCAACATGAACAGCTGCAAGAAATGTGTGTGGAGTTCTTTGTGTGAAGAGGATCACAGGAAATAAAAGTGGGTTTGAAAGGTTNACCTGACCAACATGAACAGCTGCAAGAAATGTGTGTGGAGTTCTTTGTGTGAAGAGGATCACAGGAAATAAAAGTGGATTTGAAAGGTTGTCTTGGGTTTTTGTAAAGTTATTTTTTACATGCTGAATTAGTCTGTGGATCTTTTTTATTAAAAGCACAAACTGTTTATTGTAAAACATGTAAAAAAGAACAAGTAGTGGTGGGATTATTAGTGATGGGACTAAATCTCTTATAAAAAGTACTTTAGACCAGAGATGAAACAGCGTTTTTAGGTTGCTCAGTATGAATATGCACCTAATTTTTTAATGAAATTCCTAAGATTTAAATTGTATAATAGTTTGTGAAATATCTTGTTACTGCTTTTATTTAGCAGAATGTGGACTCTAATAAAAAATATAAATTGTAAACTATAAAACATGGAACTTATTCAAAACTTCCAACCAAACAGTTTTATTTCAGCATTCTTTGTTGTCACGAAAAATTTCCTACTTCTTAGGAGTTTGTTACGATTCTTTGTCATAATGTGAGGTACTTCCTCTCTGAAAAAGGAGTGCTTACTATATGATCACTGTTTTTTTAAAAGCCTATTTTTTATTTTCTCCTTAGAAAGGCAAAGGCTAGGTATGTTTGAAGTTTTCTTGGTGTTGATGCAAGTCAGGAGGAGCGGGACCCACCCCAGCTGGCTCGGGGGCGGGGGGGG